TCAAAACATTGTGTGCAAACACCAGTGTAGTGATAGATTAAACAAAATGTGGTTCCAGTCAGTACCAGTCTGACTCCAGCCATCTAGACACATTTATGTAACATATAATGCACAACGGATGAACCAGTAGATATGCAGAGGATTGTAAAACAATATTCTATATTTGCACATAAAAATTAAGAATCTTAAATTATGTTCCATCATGTTTAACAAAATACCATACATAATATATAAACTGATTTGAAGAGACAAAGTCATGTGACACAAGTTTGAATTTCATGTTAAAGATACAAAATTACATGCATTGTTTAGGTTGCATGGGACCCGTGTCAAACAGGACACAACAACCATCAGTCAGTAACAATTGCAAATTTTTGTAGCAGTGAAAATTTCTATACACAGACCATTTTATCATCGAAACAAGAACTTCCTAAAGGCAAAAATTAAACAATTTAAATTTGGTTTGGGCCGCAAAATTTATGTTGCCACTAATTATTGAATGAAAATCGTGTCATAACTCTCAGAAATATAAATTAAACATGAAAACATAATAAGTGTATGTTACATAATGAGTATATTTCAATTTGTCACATTGAATATGTAATACATTACAATCAGCTTCTTCTCAGTTATCAAGAGGTATAACAAGTTAGTTACGAGCTTAGAAAAGCAATATAGTAATAGCCACCATGGCTGAAACCACAGCCATACAAGACAATATGTCCCTTCTATGAAGTACATACAATGATGCAGAACATATTGGTGTACGTTGTACAACCAACGACAGAATGTTGATGATAATCTTGCTGAAACCATGTTCACTTCAACGCACAACATTCCTAAACAACGTAAACAAATATATCTATGTACATGTGCAACATTACCACAGACAAAAGTATAATTTCACCCATGGGTTTCATCCTATTGTCATCTGTGCATGAAAGCCACATACTAGTAGACTTTCACAGCCAAGTTGATAAGTGTTACATCAGTGGAGAATATTTAGTGACACTGCAACTACATGTAACAGCCAAGCCAAGTAAATAATCAGTGTTTTTATGAGATAAACACCTAAAATACTCTAAACGCTTAAAGTTTACGTGAGAGAAATTTCACAACTTTGGGAGAATTGTGAAATTTCACTGGAGTCATTAAGTCATAATTTATAGTGACTCCTGCAAGAATTTGTCCTTCGCTGGGAATGTCATCGAACCGCAAAAATTGACAGCAGCAATAAGGTAACAGTTTACAGTGGTTTGGGTTCATGTGTGGCAACTTAATTTACCAACATAATAAAGTACAAATTATACCAATTTGAGACTATATATTCAAAACATACCCTTCTACCCTCCCACCTTTCTAGAAACCTCTCCAATCAAGACATGATTCTAAATGAAGGACTGGTTTCATCTGTTACTAATTTATTTTATATTACATGAAACAAGTCAACTGTAATCACACAATTTTGTGAACAGAATGAGGCAGTTTTAATTGCTGCAGCTATCTGCCATACATGTATAGTGGGAAGCCAAGTCAGCTGAAAAGACAAGATAGTAGCTTACCAGATTATGTCACAATGTCTTCAAAATCTCTTACTTCATCAACTGCCATGACAACAGCCTCCATAATAGAGGTTAAGCAAAACTTTTACAAGATGATAGCGACTTTCTCAAAGTTAATCGATCCTACCACCTGATTTTTCAATCATCCTATCATATCCTCCCAAACCCCGGGATACTTTCGATACTTTCGAAAGCAGGCAGCTGCTTGCTAAGGTCATTATGTTAATGACCCATGTGACACCAGTTGGTTTTATTCAGAGCGGTGTGCAGAGCTGAATCAGCTGGTCAAGAAATGGCCATTCTCTATACAAGTCATGTCCTAGCTATCATCCTGCACCAAGGTTAAATCACAGCAGGTTAGTATGAACACATGAATATGAAGCTTACAATCAATACTCACCAAACTGACCCCTATCTGATCAAACTAATCCCACTAGTAACATCATGTACACGCAAACAGAGACTCTGTTTTTATCAGAATCCGGTTCACATCAGAATTCAGTATCAAGTTTCAAATCCCAGTTCACTATATAAACAATGATCTCAATAGTTTGGGTTTTACTCGCTATTACTTGCATTATACAAAGATACAAAATAAAAGCTAAATCCAAAAACGTTTATTTAAAAAAAAACTTTCTATATTTCCACACTTAGTATCTTGTACATTGTTATTTAGCAATATTTATAATATATAAGAACTAAATTAAATAATTAGTAATAATCACAATTCATTAATCAAAGAAACCATAAGAAAACAAAGAAACCATTCATTGAACAGTGTTACAACATAAGGAATACATTATAAACTACATATACCATATTCTTACATATTGTAAATTGTCTAAACCTTTACTACTCACGAATAATTTTATGATCACTCAACTATTTAAAAACTTTATTAACTTTTTAACCAAAAAAGAAATGTCACATTGAATTCTATTCTATTATATTACACTAAACATTTTAGAATTTACAGTGATACATTTATGAATCTCAAGAAATTGCTTCCAATGATCAAAGATTGCAACAATTTCTAAACAACTATTGTTGGCGAGTCTGACATATTTCTTTAGCATGTGTGTATTTTTTTGCAGTTGACAATTCAGACATCCGTGTCTAGATTAGTATCAAGACAAAAAGGAAAGCATGACATGACATTGATGATTATACTGCCATGTGTCAAGTTTACATGTTTTGTTTTTATTTGTACTGTTAATTATTTTAATTAACTTTTATTTGTAATAATAAGAAACAATTAGTTCATGTATTTAGAATTGTTTTTATTTGTTTGAACAAATTGCAAATTTACAAACATGAATATTCATTGTTTCCAAAGTATTCTTTTACTACTATTTGTATTTTAATATTTATTTTAATTTTTAGCTGACAATGATGAGATGTATGTAGGAGGGTCAGTGGAGCTTGTTCAGACCATTTTGTTGAGTGAAAGCAGCTGCAAGAGAAATAGCCTCAGACGAGAAAACTGTTAAGTTTACGTCTTAGAAGAAACCTTTTTGCTAATGGCAGTGGTATGATTTGAACCCATCACTTTTTTGGTCAAAACCTCAGACCACTCCAACCACCAAGCCAGTATAGGTGATACAAAATATTACAACAATAATTCAGATTATAAAATAATCAAACTTGGACTCATCAATATTTTCAGCTCACAGACCAGACCTACTGGGCATCCATAAAACTGACCTATTTTCAAAGGGTCAGAATTAGTGAGAAAATGGACATAGAGCAAGAAAGTTTAGTATCATTCATAATAGCAGCATAAACACCGGTAATTAATTTATAGTATTGAATTGCAATAGTAATATAAATGACATATAAATTACAACATCAGATTTTGTACATTTAATGTTAATAGCTGAAATGGTTTGGTAATTGTCGTGAGAAGTGTGTCATATCAGCAGTCAAGAAATTCAACCTAAACATAATCTAGGCGACATGTCACACCCTACTACTTATCTGGATCAACCAAACGCCTACACATCAACCAAGTTGTACACTACATTGTTTTTGTTATTCTCTCACGGAAGGGAAAAAACATGGAATACACACAGAATGACACTGCAAATCAGGATTTCCACAATTTAAAATAAACCAAGATACAGAAAACTGCTTTACTAATATTCCTCTATTAGTAGCATAAATGACTTACGTAGATACAGATATACAGGTATTTATAATCATCCAGCATATTAACAATAAATGTAATTTTTGGTGTATGTGCTTCAAAGAGCAACTACAGTAATTTTGGAAAATTCTGTATTATGAACATTTTATTTGGAGTCCAGGAGGCTGTGAGTCACAGTGATTATCACGGAATGTTCTTATGAACAGTATACTTGTGAAAATTCCAAGATGAGAAAATTGGAAAATTGTCATCGCTGTTAATTTTCATGTTTCTCTTACTAACAAAATCAGTATAAAAATTGCCTTGCACAAAATAGAGTCAATTTACAAGATATGAATACTGGAAAGCTGCCAGGTAGCTTCTGTGAAACCGATTAACATGTGTGGGCCATTTTAGATAACTGTAAAGTGAAACTTTTCACAATACAAGCTTAGTTGGAATGAAACCATAAACATGAAATTTCACATATTATACTTCCTGTCTTTGTTAAGAAAATCAACAGATCAACTGTCACAGATAAAAACTCTAACAAGACAATGATTCAGAGAGAAATGACCAGTTCACCCCTGAACACCACCACCTGTGGAAAATTAATACTGTAAAATATTTCTACAGTTCTTCCATAAAAATATGGTGAATTCAAAACCAAATCTGGAAACAGACTTTTAATTCATATTTATTTACAATCTGTATTTTCACTATATAGAAATTAATTTTTATCTAAAATACCTGAAAATACATGGTGGGTATGAGGTGTTGTAGTACTGTCAAAAGCAGCATGTTAGGCAATGAAAATCTATAATAATGAACCATGGAGGTATGAATAATTCTTCCATGGACAGACCAACTATGTCAAAGGGTGTTTTCAATCTTTTATGTTAACATACAGAATAATTACTATGTATGGCGTGGCTGACACTGAGTGATTCACTATACCAAAGGGTTTGTTTTATAGTAGACTGGCTCCCACGAAGGTGGCACTCACTAAAAGTGTGTCTACTCCACCCAGATTAATTTCACAGCTACCTCTGACGGTAGCCTAATAGCCATTCTATCATTATATTATCACAATGTACTTTCTTTCCGGGAAGCCAATTGGCACTTACAGCAGTACATACTATTAACTGCTAACAGGCATGGGAATTAATATTTCTGCAAGTCAACAAATTAATCGATTGTTAACTTCAGTGAAACAAACTTATAATACATGTGCATGGGAATACATGTGTTGTTTTTGATAAGGTCAAACAAGAACATGTAACTTCTTCGGTTTGTTGTGATTTTTTACTTACCTACATTGCTACCAAGAAACATTACTGTCAGTAAATGGGGATATGTAGTCTCAAGTGCTAGACACAGCGATTTAAAGGCTTGGTTCCCTTTCGATGGCAAAATATCGAGTAATTTCTCCACCTTTCCATGAGAAGTTGTTATTCGTGCGATTTCTTCTGTGTCTTGTGCGCTCAAAACACCCGAGTTCTGCAGTATGGGATACAACCGTTCCACTTCAACCGACTGCACGAACTTCGCTCGATGGCACATCAGCAGTTCATTGTGTTTGTTCTCCATCTTCCCGAACATGCAAAAATCTTACTAAGTTTCCAAAAACATCGAAAAGTTCAACCGATCCAATAAAAGAGCAAGCGGTCACATTTACAGTTCAGAGTCACGGCAGCCATCTTGGCAGCTCAGCTGAGTGGAAAAGGTACACACGTAACAAATAATTCAGTGACACGCCGACTTTCTGAGAATTTAAGCACCAACTTGAATGAATACACACATTTCTTAGACATACGTTCACCTCTCCAACAAATTTCAGTTCTCAAACCTAAGCCGATCGCCATATATCGGGTCGAATTCGAAGCGATTGCAGCTACGCAAACGATACCCTTTCGCCATCTTTCTCATTTGGCATGGTAATGATAACAGCTGCCGTATGTCAATCAAACTGCGTGAGGTCCATATATGGAAAACAGGTGTTAATTACACTTCCTTAATAGGTGATACCACGCCCATTTTACAGGTAACTTCCGTATAACTTACTAAATATTACTTTGATCTCAAACCAATGCCGCGGTTTTTCAGAAGTTTTCTGGTTTTCATTTAAGCAAAAGTGAATTATTCAAATTATGCGGCAGGTCTGCGAGTTCCCTGTTCAAAAACTAAGAAGCAGATACAACCAGTTAAGTTATATTTCAAAAATTATTTTTAAAAGTTTTTCTTTCTGTTTTTCAGAAAAAAACAACCACATTAATATCCAGGCGCATCGAAGTGTCTTCGTTGGAGACCCCTCGTGGTGTGTTTTCTTTGTCCTACAATTTTGAGAAAGTTTTTCAAAAAATCAATACTATTCGTACTATTTGTATTAGACGTTACAGTGACGGGTGACGTCACACCGACTGTTTATTGACATTTGCAATGTTGGCCATGTACTTGTATCATGATTTGCTATACCCTCCCTGGATAGCCTATGACATGAATGACATTGCCAGCGTTCAGTAGTTTTGTGAACATGAACAAGGACGCCACCTATTATATCCGATTATGCATAGAAATGGAACATAAGGCAAGGCGAACTGACATCAATGTTTCAGTGTTCCGTACACAGCGGCACATCTAGCGTTCTGATGCTAATTTTCAAAGATTTCTACTGACATGTTGGTTCTTTTTTATTGTTCACAGTGACTGTTGCGTTTCTAAATCTCAGAATCACCCAAATTTGAATTTGACATGCCGTTGACATGCTGTCGCCAGTACTTTAGGGTGATTCTCTCTGGCACATTATTTATATCATTTGCAAATGTTTACTTAAAATTTTCGAGTAGCAATCATTAACATGTCAAATGTAGAATGAATCTATCTTCAGTGTAACCATAGACGCTACAATATTGTAAGGTTTATGTAGTGGCATACGAACTGAACATATTACGAAGATATCACGTTTAAAAGAACCATTTAATTTCCGGAACCTAGCAACCGTCGTTACCTTGACATCGTTACTTGGGGATCAGTGATTACTACGCACCAACTATACTGTGTTGGAAATTTACTATTTATACTATTATTCAATATTTAAGCAATTCAAGTGATAATGCTTCAATTCAAAACACTCCCAGACAGTGTGTCTCATTGACTTCTCGAAGATGAAATCCCTCCTGTTACCCGTAATTGTACTCAACGTGCGAGTTACTGTCGCGTATTTGTCGTAGTATCATGACATCACTGCCTGATTTCGCACTCTTGATATCTTTGTTTTCTGACATTTTTTTTCAATTCGGGTATTACTCAAAGTAATCAGCAATAATACTTTATTTTGTTGCATTATAAGCCATCCTGAAAATGTTTAAAGTCACGGTGAAAACAAAAACACAATTGCTACAATTATTTATATATATATATATTTCAATTCGAGTACAATCATAAGATGAGCATCGTTTGTTGTTGTTATTGTTGACATATCCTCTATTGTATATAAGATCTCAGTGCAAGTTCGTTCCCAATAATGACGGGAAGAAACTTTCGTGACACGTAGATACTAGTGTCTCTATGTATCTGTGAAGAGATGCACATAATTCGTTCTTCGTTTGTTAGTTAGTTCAGTTTGTTGTTTGGGTGCTATGCTGTTTTTTTAATAATTATCATTGGTTCATATTTAACGTTATGTATTTTTTATTGAGAAAGATTGCAAATCCAAATGAAGATAAAATTGCAATAAATAAATAATACAATTACTAAGAGTTTCAGTGGAACACAGGTATTTTGCTGCTAAATTACATATTTCAATGTACAACGAATCCACGTCGTTGGGATTATAAGAGGATTTTCCTATTTTGTAAGTGATTAAACGTTAAAAAGCGTTTTCATCTATAAGCGATATATATACATGCACTTAAAGCGCGCCAACATTGTAACAATTTATAGTAGCCGTCCTGATATAAGGTAAAGTAAAACTAAACTGCACTACTGTTCGTTTTATTGTGTAACATTGAATAATGTAAGATGGTGAAATAAATATTACTACTAGTATGTGACGAGTGTGGCTATCCCATAGTGCATCTCACTTATGTGAACAATAGAGGGATGATATTTCCCAGTCTATACCAATGATACCATTTTCACGACCCTCTCGACAAATGTCACATTTTTGATGACCTACAAAAATATTAACGTAAACATTTCACTTGCTAAATTTATCAAAATAAAACTGATGCAAGACAGCAACACCTCGATTTGTAGATATATTTGATAGTGTTTACTTCGTTCATTTTTGTTTGTTTATAATATTATACTGTATTTTTTTCTTTTTTTTATGTAATCATTAAATTCCTCCTGTGAATTGTTTTTATGTGTTCTCAATAAAAGAAGGTCACTTGATGTCATCATTCGGTGTGGTTCATTGCAGGTGATGTCACCATTATATGTGTTCACGTGATGTCACCACTATATGTGTTTAAGGTGATGTCATCATTTTTCTCTCTTCCACAAAGATATTAGCACGAATGACTCAACAAAGCAACCAAACCCATTGTCTTGTTGACCACCCCTATTAAATATTATTATTTCTGAATCTACATAAGTCATAATAATTGAGATGTATGTGTCGAGTGTACTGTGAAATCTCACATTGTTTATCACGTGAGTAAACATACCATGGCTGATATTGTTTGTTGCTAGAACAGTCTTGATAACCGTGGCCGGTGTCATTGTCCTGTGCTACATCCCTCAGGACGTCCTCATTATCATTTTTAACAATGAGGGGCGTTGATGCACAATCGTGAGAGAACTTGTTTATTTATTTATTTGAGACAACACTGATTAGAAATAGTACAGTATTAGGGTGAATACTCATATCTATGGCTATTTATGTGTATACTAGAATCATGGAGCCCTTTCTCGCTCTATACTAGAATATAGCATGGATGTCAAAATGAATATACATATTCAGCAAAGGGCGTATGCGATCAGTAAGGGATACCCCCAGCAAGAAAAAATGACTCTGGCCATATGCACTGAATGTCAAACACCGATCTGATAAGAAGGTGTTTTTTTATTGTTTTCGAACATTTCAAACCATGTATGACACGTTAGGCGCCCCATGATTGGCTATAACTGGTGAGTATGGACTATTAGTAGCCAATCAGGATCAATTTTGAAAGATTTCAAGTGCAATGACTCATCGTTATTTTCTTTAAATCTTGAGTCATAACTTGATCAGATGTGTTGTTATTCCTGTCTAGTTTGAACGACTAAGTGAGAGAAGTCGTGATTTCGTTGTTTGTATACGTCATCGCTATTGATCGCTTTAGATTTATTGAACAGTTCCCGACTATATTTATAAACAATTTGTCGTTATGCCTCAAGAGGGCGCTGTCAGAGACACCGTTTGATTTGTTCATAAGATAAGATAACTTTATTGACATTATTTTTTCTATAGAAGATGAACATAGTCAAGTGAAATAAAAAAAAAAGTAAAAAGGATAATCAAAAAATTAAAATAACAGATTAATTAAAAGGCAATTAAAAGGTAGTGCAGAATCAGGTGTTTTATTAATACACACCTGTTTGCATTATAAACACACCAAGCTTAATGTGGCAGTTTGTCATAATGTAAAG